CTAGGTGGTATGCATTCTTTATTCTAGGTGGTATGCATTCTTTATTCTAGGTGGTATGCATTCTTTATCCTAGGTGGTATGCATTCTTTATCCTAGGTGGTATGCATTCTTTATTCTAGGTGGTATGCATTATTTATTCTAGGTGGTATGCATTCTTTATTCTAAGTGGTATGCATTCTTTATTCTAGATGATATGCATTCTTTATTCTAGGTGGTGTGCATTATTTATTTTAGGTGGTATGCATTCTTTATTCTAAGTGGTATGCATTCTTTATTCTAGGTGGTATGCATTCTTTATTTTAGGTGGTATGCATTATTTATTGTAGGTGCATACTTTATTTTAGGTGGTATGCATTATTTATTCTAGGTGGTATGCATTCTTTATTCTAGGTGGTATGCATTTTTCATTCTAAGTGGTATGCATTCTTTATTCTAGGTGGTATGCATTCTTTTTTCTAGGTGATATGCATTCTTTATTCGAGGTGGTATGCATTCTTTATTCTAGGTGGTATGCATTATTTATTGTAGGTGGTATGCATTATTTATTCTAGGTGGTATGCATTATTTATTCAAGGTGGTATGCATTATTTATTCTAGGTGGTATGCATTCTTTATTCTAGGTGGTATACATTATTTATTGTAGGTGCATTCTTTATTCTAGGTGATATGCATTCTTGATTCTAGATGGTATGCACTCTTTATTCTAGGTGGTATGCATTCTTTATTCTAGGTGGTATGCATTCTTTATTCTAGTTGGTATGCATTATTTATTCTATGTAGTATGAATTCTTTATTCTAGCTGGTATGCATTCTTTATTCTAGGTGGTATGCATTATTTATTCTAGGTAGTAATGTATACATTCTTTATTCTAGGTGGTATGCATTCTTTATTCTAAGTGGTATGCATTCTTAGTTTATTCTAATTGGTATGCATTCTATATTCTAGGTGGTATGCATTATTTACTCTAGGTGGTATGCATTCTATATTCTAGGTGATATGCATTCTTTATTCTAGTTGGTATGCAGGCGGATATGTGTGAACTGGTGGCTAGTGCTAGAAATACAGGACAGATACTAGCCACTGAATACTCTACTATAATACCTAGGTAATTTGTATGTCTGTCTGTCTGTCTGTCCATCCATACGTTTGTCTGTCCCTCTGTCCTTCATTCTGTATGTGTCTGTCTGTCTGTTTGTACGTACATCTGTTTGTCTGCTGTCTGCTTGTTGTCTCTCTGCTGTCTGTTTTTCTATCTTAATATCAAATTTTTTTTTCAGAAATGAGGATATAAAGGAGAGACTGGAGAAGACCAAGAGTAAAATAATTAACTCTTATCAAGGAACTCATATTTTAGAGCATTTGTGTATAGATAAATTGAAAAATAAGAATATTAATCTAAAGAATAAGAGGAATGATTAGAAGTACATTATCAAATAAGAATAAGAATAAGAATATATAATTTAAATAGAATGTGATGAAGAAAGGAAAATAAGAAGAGGAATGTGAAGAAGGAAAAATCAGAGTAAGAAATTAAATAAGATGCGAAAATAAGAAGAATGTAAAGGCAAATGGAAAATAAGAATAAGAATGTGAAGAATGGAAATAAGATTAAGACTGTAAAGAAGAAGAAAAATAAGAATTAGAACATAAAGAATAAGGTAAAATATGAATAAGAATTTAAAGGAGAAGAGAAGAAAAGTTACGAGGAACTCAGAGATATTTACTCTGAAGAATATGGAAAGTTTACCCAGCAGTTCAAACTACTCAAGGTAAACGATATCTGGGTATTTATTTTTAAGAAATTTTGATGCTGAGGGAAATAATGAAAAAATTGACTTCAACTGTCAAGTTTTCCACACTTTTTGAGACAGTTAACCCTAGAAAATTAACTAATTTTGTATAATTCAATATAAAAATGCTCTGAAATATCTTGAATGAATAAAAATGCCAACAAGAAAATACATAACCCTTGTTAATTATAAGTAATCCTTCCACCCTTCCACACAGAGAGTGGATGAAATTACCAGTTATTGGATTATTAATGTATGGATCAGATGGATTAAATATTTTATGGATCAGACATTGAATGGATGTGATCAACTCATTATCCAATGTACAAGGCTGATGCATTCAAGTTTTCCAATTCATAAATCTTGAGATGATAAACAAAACAAAATAAAAAAGCTTCTTTCTTGAAAATACATAATTAAGCAAACTATGATATAAATATTTTATATTTTTGTATTGCTACAGGAATCTAAAAGGAATTTAACCTGAACTACACAACTGCTTTCTTCTTGTTGGAAATAATTGGCCAGAAATTCAAACATTTACCATATGCAGTAGTATTTTTTATTGTAAATGATGTTCTAGTACATAGTATAGCTTTTAGGTACTTCCCACTTATCCTACTCTGGTAGAAAATATAACACTATAGATCCATGTATGTTGTGACTGTATTAAAGTAGACTAAGTAAACTAAATTAAAAGCTATTGAATAAAACCCAAAAGATACTTTTAATTTAAAAAAGACAAAAAATGGGGGGGAAAATTTAGCTGGGGAAATGGGTTTCACAATAAAGCCTCACTGATTTTCAAACTGTGGCTTAAAAAGAAGAAGTTAAAACTCCCTTAGAATGGTTGTCAGGAGACAGCCTGAAATTGTAATTTTTTTTTACCAGGATGAATTAGAACACGATCTAGAAACTAGTGGAAGTATTCTCAGTAATATTGATGCTAGCAGAGAACGCCCAACCCTGGACTTTAATCTTTTCCCTCCAAATCTAGGTAAATATGCTGAAGGAAATGTTTCAGAAGTATTCAGTGGTTTAAGGTTTTAAAGATGACCTCCCTCCCTCTTTTTTAATACCTTTTCTAAAGTTTTTTTTTTGAAAATTGAAATTTGTCTTTACAACCGTTGTAAACTTCAAAATGGTAGTTGAATGTGATATTATTAGATAATTTGCCTTGTGTATTCAAATCCAAAAAAATGCTAAATTAATACATAACTTTTTCACAAAATATATATTGTTTCAATTGCAGATTTAAATCATTTGTAGTTGTAAAGGATGTAATCGTATCAAGTTATTTAAACTCTTACTCCTAGGTTATCCATCAATAATGTCCATGGATAATTATTATAATGGTGAAACAACTACTAACAATAATTCACTGTCTAGTGGAAAATATATATATTTTATTGAGTTCTAAGATACTTCCTTGGACATTGTGAACTGTAATGTCCACAAAAATATGTTTCCACATATTGAAGTGCTGTGCCCGTTTCGGGAATTTTAGCAAATTCCCAGAATATGATACCTAGATCCGAAGGTATTATTCAGCTATTAACATGATGGGACAACATCATTTCTCTATTGTTCACCTCTTTCATACACATCGGTCTTTTGTAATCTTTATTTCTGCTATAGTGAAACAGAGCTCAGATCCGAGAACTGAAAAACAATTAATTAATCACTGGTTAGATAAATATTAAATTATTATCAAAATGATTTGTATGTACGCTTAGTCTATCAAATTAGCCAAGTTTACATGAAAGTTTGCTCCAGGTGTGCCAAATGTAAATAAGTTATAATTATATATATGAATTAAAGTAATGCTTACAAAAATGATTAAGCTAGAGAATTTAATAGCTCTAGAGTTACATTTTTGTTGTTACTTGTTCACACTGATCACACTATACTTGATTATATACCTTTATAAATCCCTTCAGGAGCTAGGGTTAAGTTGGTAATCATATAATCATCATGGAGAAAGAATAGCTCATCCACATACTCAAATGATGGGATCTAAATAAGATTAAGTTAGACATTAGACCTTAATCTTGAGAGTAGTTTCGTATTTATTCTTCTTCTGCTCAGTAGCAGCAGTCCTGGATTATAGAAGCAGAGGTGATGCTCCCAACAGGACTTCTCTAAGCAGGAGCTGGTGAAAATGAGGATGCCCAGCAGTGAGATGCTCTGCATGTAGTTTAGTTCAACCCGACAGGTTCATTGTGCTTTTGTCTGTGTTCAGGTAATCCACAGCTTGTGTGTGTGAATCTGCTGTTGGATTCTCGTTAGATTGTTGAGATCATCCTTGTCTAGGAGTACGGCGGGGGTAGATCAGAAAGGACTTGTTCTAATAGAAAGGAGTAGTTAGTTTCGAATAAACTTCAAAGTTCTAAGTTAATCAAGAATGTATTTTCACCTGTTAATTCATTAGTTTATAGTTCAGGTCAGGTGTTGAAATACGAGAACGGTCTGAATTCACTTTTATGGAACATCTTTGAGCATAAAGAGTTTTGAATCTGGAGAATAGTATAAGCAGCATTTACATTCAAATGATATGTCTTATAAACCTAGTATTGCACAACCTGGAGCAACAAGACTGGATAACCCAGTTATCCTAGATTATTGTGGTCTAAAATATTCAGACCATTTAATAACTTTTTAATAAAAGCTTTTTAGGCTTAAGGATATATAACTTTTAGGCCAGGATTGTAAATGGACTATGTACAGTTAATATAAAACTTTAGTAAAGCTCAAATGAAAGTCTCCATTTATATTTAGACCACAATCGTTTAAATAATGTTGAGAAGATGAGAGCATGGAATAAAGAGAGAAGATTGAACATATCTTTGTTTGCTTCTTCAAGTCCGGTTTTTCAGATTCAATCTGAACATCAAGAATTAAAAGATCCATAGATCTTTCAATCACCCATATTTCACTGAATGCTGTGCTGTCCATCGATATCAATTATAATGATGAAACAACTTCCAATAGTAAGTCTTTATTTAGTTGAAAAGGAAGATATTGTATTGAGTTATGATGGACTACTCAACTCCTGTTTACAAATAATAAAACAAGCGGAACAACTCCCCGCTCATCAACAATGGGAAAAGTTCCCCCAACAGGTTAGATAAGTGTTAATATTTGGGTAAATATTTTATTCAATCATCATCTTTCACCCTAGTTTTTTTTTTTAATTGCAGCAATTTTTATTACATGTTTAAAACAACTTTTCTTAATACTTTCTTATATAGCCCATTTCTAATAATTAGGTTTGTGTTTTGATTGTAAAGATTGTAAAGTCCTTTGAGGCAAATTGCAGAAACTGGGAAGTAAGGGGAACATCATTCACTATGAACTCGGCCAGTTTTTGGAGATCATGGAAATTAATGTCATGGATTTTCTTTAAACTTTTCACCCAATTAGCATATTATGAGAAAACAAAATCCAAAAATTTATGCTCCTGTGACCTCTGGTTACTGAGTTATGGCCTCCTTAAGTTCCGGCCTCAAGGCCTGGCAACAACTTTTTTAAAAAAAAAGATGTCAATGGTGGTCAGAGGGGAGGTAATGGAGAGAGTGAGATATATTGAGATTGGGTGAGAAAAGCAAGGCAATGGAAGTTAGAATGTGAAAAGTTAATTTTCTAAGCAAAGCTGGCTACTAGTTGTAGTTTACGCATATACGATGACTAGGGTTTGATTTCTATGGATGAATTGGCTACTTAATCTGTTAAACACCATGATAAACCATCCAAAAATTACATTGGAACGAATGAGTTAATTTAGGATGTTGGATTTGGTGTTGAGAGTATTGAAGGATTGAAGACTGGAGTTAAAGAATCTACAATACAGCTGGAGGAGATGAAGAATCAGCTCACCAGCTCTGTTAACCTGCTCAGTAAGCAATCTGGAGAAGTGGTGAGGACATAATGGATTGATGGATGGCTTGATTGATGGATTGACAATGGATTAATTGACAATGGATTGATTGACAATGGATTGATAAGAAGATGGATTGATGGATGAAAGGAGAAGCTGAAAAAATTCTGCGATGGATTAAAGGATATGTAAATGGTTGTGTAGAAAGAGAGATTTCTTGATTTTCGGATCAAGATTTTTTTTAGGGATTGTTAGTATGATCAATTGGGATTAAGGTTTAAATTGAGGGATTTAGGTTTCAATTGATGGATTGAGGGATCAAGGTTTGGATTGATGTTTTGAGGGATTAATGGTTGGATTGAGGGATTGAGGGATTTAGGTTTAGATTGGTGCTTTGAGGGATAAAGGTTTGGATTTAGGGATTGAGGAATTGAAGGTTTGGATTGAGGGATGGAGGAATTAAGGTTTGGATTGATGAATTTAGGGATTAAGGCTTAGATTGAGGGATTTTAAGGTTTGGATTGATGTTTTGAGGGATTAAGCTTTATATTGATGTTTTAAAAGATTAAGGTTTGAATGAAGGGATTGAGGGATTAATGTTTGGATTGATGTTATGAGGGATTAAGGTTTAGATTGAGGAATTGTGAGATTAAGGTTTGGATAGATGTTTTGAGGGATTAAGGCTTAGATTGATGAATTGAGGGATTAAGGCTTAGATTGGTGGATTGAAGAATTAAGGTTTGGATTGAGGGATTTTAGGGATTGTTAGATTGATCGTTGGAGCATTGGCAATAGAAAATTATCAATTTTTGCATAGATATTGTACATATTCAAGAATTATTTTTGATGAAGGAAAAATACCATATAGAGATATTTTAGGACTGGATAAGCTTGCTACAGGGAGAGGAGGGGGTTAAAGAAAAGGATAGTCTACTCCCTCCAACACCAATCATCATCAAAGTAGTATGGTTTAATTAATTTTAATCAATCATCAACTTCTCATTGATAAAGTATGTTTTTATCAATAAATA